AGAGCAGAGGGCCATGCATACAGCCCTGCGACCCGGCTCCCAGGTTGGGGAAATATCAGAAAGGCCCAGAGAGTCAAGGGTCAGCAAGAGATGAAGCAGCTCAGGGGGTAAAGATCTCTGGTGTGAGGGCTTATGCCATGGGGGCAGCAGTCTTTTTAACAAGCAATCTTAGCAACAACTGGCACCAGGTCACTTGATGGGAGAGCAGGGACAGCGAGGCTGACTGAAGGGAAGTTTCCCAGAGGGCATGGGGGCTCAGTGGGCACCCAGCCTGGTTAGATTTGGATGAAGGGAGCAGGAGCCAGATGGGGCGGCACAGAGGCAAGGGTGGTGTCCAGCATCGGGGGCTGTGAAGCAGCTGGCCTGGCTGGACCAAGGAGGCTAAGACACAAGAAGGGAAACTGTAGATTGAGACCAAGTTATGGGAGGCCAGAGCGATACCTGGAAATTTATCCTCTAGGGTGGTGGTTCACAACCCTGAGGCCCATGCAAAATTCAGATGCCTGGGCCCCACCCCAGACCAATCCAATGAGAACCTCTAAAGGGTGGGGTCTGGGCATCAGAATCATTAAAAGCTCCTGGGTAATTACAAGACATTTTGATCAAAGATTCTATAGAAGACTCTTGTTCAAAAGGAGGAAAATGCAGAATACAATTTCAAATTCTCATGGAATCCAGACTTTCTGGAGCCACTGAGGCTGAATGAACCCCTGAAACTATTGTCCAGAGATATAAACCTTAAAGCAAAAATATCCCCTGAAGTCTTCTTTAAACCAAACAATAGTTTAATTAGCAAAGAATGTCTGCCTTGAGCATTGTGCTCTTTTAAGAACTATCTATATGAGATCAAATTGACTAGATAGAAAGCTTAGGGGGAAGTGAGTTTATGTTAATGGGGGAGGAACCACTCAGAAAAGGAGGGCAAGAATGGCTGCACAACTTGAAGAATGTAAGCAACGTCACTGAACTGTACATGTAGATATTGTGGAATTGGTGTACGTTCTGCCATGTATATTCTCAACAACAGTAAGCAAAGATAATTTTTTAAAATGGTTAAAAAAAGAGAGCGAGCTCCCAGGTAGTCTCTGTAGCCAGGGCTGAGCAGCCACGGGAGCCACTGAAGGTTTTAGGGGCAGTGACCTGATAACAGAAGACTCATGAAAGATTAGTGCTTGGGAAGAAGGGGGCTTAAAGGGGGTCCCCTGCAGTTCTCCTCAGTGTGGGAGCTGGGGGGCAGGCCGGGGACATAGACACCAGGCTCCTCGTGCAGGATTTCTCTGCCACCACACCTGACTTTCCTCCCCTAACCCACTACAGAGGTGCTGCCCCCAGCCCACCCCCCACCCCCTGCATCCCATGGAGAGTGAATGTGATGTGGGGACACCCCTCACCTTGCATGAAGCCCTTCTCACCACCCCCTGAGGCCTCCACCCAGGCCCACAGTGATTCTCTGCTGATCTAGGAAGAAACCTTGGCACAGGGCTGCCGCCAAGGCGCCAGCAACATCCGTGAGAGGTTGCAGCAAGCCCCAGGCCTCCAGGAGCCAGGAAGCGCTGGTCTCCCCAACAGCTGGGCCACAGCTGCAAGCCTTTCCGGACAGACCCACAACATCTGTCTACATCTGTGTCTCCCCCTCGGCTACTACAGGAAGGCACCCGAGTGGGCCCCACCACCCCAGATGGGTATTACCCACAGGCCCAAGAATCAGGAAAAGAGTGGGCCTGCTCACGGGGCCTATGTTCCCCTAGTCAGCACTTCTTTCTTGGGTGGCTCAGCTTTCTTTATTCCCAGGGTCACGGGAATAAACAGTAACTTGCAAAGCCAGCCACCCATGCCAACCTGAAGGAGAAGTGGGAGCCTTGGAGACGGAGGGGACGTGGAAACGGGACAGCAGGCTGCACTGAGTGGGCAGAGGGGACCAGAGCGGGCAGAAGGGACCAGAGCGGGCAGAGGGGACCAGAGCAGGCAGTGGGGACCAGAGAGGGCAGTGGCGACCAGAGAGGGCAGTGGGGACCAGAGCGGGCAGAGGGGACCAGAGTGGATGAAAGGGACCAGAGTGGGCAGAGGAGACCAGAGTAGGTGCTATAGTCACAGGGAGACACGGGGTCCCACAAGCCGGGTTCTGGTCCTAGTTCTGCCACTTAAATTCTTGGCCCCCAAGATTATGGAGGTAGGATTGCTCAGTAAAGTCAGGGATGAGAAATCACCTTGTAAACCACGAAGGGCTCCACAGAGCCGTTCATTCATCAAACAGGGGAGTGTGGCTGTAACATGCCGGTCACCAAAGATGAGGGAGGCACAGCCCTGCACTCAGAGACCTGAGAAAACTGCAAAGCAATAAGCCGCCACATTGAGGGACCAAGAGGGAGGGCAAGTAGCTGGATGTCTGAGGTGGTTTAGGAAGAAGAGAAGGAGCCCTGGCAGCATAACATTAACCACTTCGCTGTTAATCAAAAGGTTGGCGGTTTAAACCCACTTAGTAGCTCCATGGGAGAAAGACCTGGCAATCAGCTCCAGTAAAGATTACAGCCAAGAAAAGCCTACTGGGCAGTTCTATTATGTCACATGGGGTCTCTTTGAGTTGGAATCGACTCGACTGTACCCAACAACAACAGGAAGAAAGGAGGCAGAATGGGGCTCTGCTCTAAGAGAAGGAGGGCACCTGCAAGGCAGGAAAGGGGCCAAAGAATGACGGTGTCAGGGAGACAGAGCGAGGAGCTTGCACAGGAGGGGAGGGAGTGGGGGTGTGAGGCAGGGAAGGTCAGGGACAGAACAGGTGTGGAAGCCAAGCCAAGATGTGCCCAGCAGACAAAGAGGCTGGTGGATCTGAGGTTGCGAACAGCCCCCACGACTGCTGCAGAGAGGATGGTGGGGTGGTGGGGTGGGGGGTGGGAGGGGCAGGATGACTGCTGCTTTCAGGGACAATCAAGCAAAAGCTCATAAAAATACACAATCTTGTTTAGAAATTAGGCAGCAGAGAAAAAAACATTATTTTACTTAAATACAAACTGTGGCCAATACAATCCAACCCTGCCTATCTGAAGGGCAGAGACTTCCTGGTGGCACTGCACCTGAGCACTTACCTCACTCTTTAATGTGTGTCAGGAGCCCTGATGCCGCAGTGGTTAAGAGCTCAGCTGCTGATCAAAAGGTTGGCAGTTGGAATCCACCAGCCACTCCTTGGAAACCCTATGGGGCAGTTTTACTCTGTCCTATAGGATTGCTATGGGTTGGAATCAACTCAACGGCAGTGGGTTTGTTTTTCGGTTTGTTTGTTTTGGGGGTGGAGGGTTAATGGGCGTCACAGTAGAATGTGCTCCACAGGGTTTTCAATGGTTGTGATCTTTCAGAAATAGATTGTCAGGCCTTTCTTCCAAGGCACCTCTGGGTAGACTAGAACCAATATTAGCAGCCAAGCAAGTTAACCCTTTGCACCACTCAAAGATTCTACCCCATCCCTTAGGCTGTTTCTCTTCTTTCCCAGTCTCTACCTAGAGGCCTAGAGCCATTTTTAAAAAATAGTTTCTTAGAAAGAAGGAAAGGAAATCATCAGCATTCCCACCTGGTAAGAACCATTTTAAACTACTCCCAATTAAAGGGCTGAGGAGAAATGTCTTTATGGGTATAAAAAGCCCTCCCCTGGCTCTGGACTTGGCCCATGGGCATGCCCACACCAGCCCTATCCTTTCTGGGACCCCTTCTCCTGCGGACAGAGGCCTCCTCATTCCCAGAGACACCAGTGAGGATTCGGGTGAAGAGGCTGAGCAATTCCTTCTGAGCCCTACTGGCAAGGGTAAAATTATTTCTAAATTCAGATCACCGTATAAAGGTGATGCTTGGCACCCCCCTGGAAGGTTCCGTGGGCACATCCTGCCCAATCGCAGATCTGTGATTTGGGACAATGACCCGTCTTCCTAGCAAGGCCTTGGTTTCCTAAAATCATCCTGTGTCGGCACTGCCTGGGGAGGATTGGCCAGCTGCCTCTTGTCGGTAAAAATAGCAGAGCT